GAAGGCGAGCAATGAAGAGGATTGCAGGTAAATTTGTGGAAAATATTTTTTTTAAAGACATTTGGACTCAAATGTAGCTGTCAGTGTTGCTGCCTGTCTGCGCACGTATGCCCTGTCTTCAATGGCACTGCCAGGCGCCGATTTGCAGAAGAAACCACTCACCCCCTGGTAAGCCGGTTCCTTTAAAGGCAGAAACTTGCAAGCTGAGGAACCTGAAAGGAACAAAAAGATGTTATAAGAGACGCCATAACCCTGACCTTATTCCAGCCTTCACTGCAGTCTGTAAATCAGGCTTTCAGCACCCCCTTGTGGAAGCAAGAAGATTGCATACTATTGTCTTACATTTTTACTGAGCTAGGAGTATAATTTTCACTAATGGCAATAACCAATTCAGGGTCACAGTGGGCAGGAGCCCACCCTAGGAAGCACTGGGTACTGGGCACAAGACGGGATACTCCCTGGATGGGGAGCAAGCCACACACAGACACAAACACACAGGCACTCACATTAGTGTCAGTTTTTACAGAAGCCAATTCACCTACCAGCATGTCTTTGAATTATGCCACCCAGAGAAAACCCCATGTGAAAACAAACAGATACAAACTCCATACAGATAACACCTCAGGAATTGAACCCAGGGCCCAAGAGCTGCAAGGCAGCAATGCAAACCACTGCCACCCCACCTGAGTAATACTGTTTCATAAACATCACACCTTGAGTAAGTTATGTAAAGACTTCTTTGACTGTTTCTAAGACACCACTCAAAGCAGCCTTTAAATGCTAAATGCATTTTTTTTCTTCTGTCCATGGATGTTAGGATTTATAGCCAATAATGTTATTTTACTGTTTTTGTACGCAGTATCGGATTTTCCATTAGGCACAGTGCCTAGGGAATACGACATTTTTATGGAGGGAAACACTAGTGACTAATGAGAAATGAGCTGAAATATCATGCTTGAGATCGACTTCAGGTGCTCCAAATCAATAATCATGCGCTATCTAGCGGCTGTTCTAGAAACTAGAAGTATCGAAGTGATGGTTGCTCGACTCGGTCCATCAATCACGTGGTTTAGCGTTAGAATAGTTTTAAGTGCATCATGTCAATCGATGTAATTCAATTGGCGTTCACCTCTCTTTTTGCACATTTTGCAGTGAAAGTGCCTAGGGCCTACAAACACCAAAATCCGGCCTTTTTGTAAGTTTGTCTTACATTCGAAATGTGACATTTAAAGATCAGGGTCAGTACAACAACAAACCTGATATGGTGTCTAATTGTAGCTGAGGTCAAAACAAATATGAAGGGATCCCTGATGAGCTCAGTTTAATTACATTTGACTGCCCTAAACAGAAATGTGTTCTGAATTGTGCACGGCACTGTTTTTATTTATTTATTTAAATAGACAGAATTTATGACAAATGACCATTAAACATGCTCTGTTTTGTTTCCTAGCAATCCACAAGTATGAAGATTTGGGGAAAACAAAAAGTAAGTATGAAACAGTATTTATCACAAGTGATTACCACATATAAAAGAACAGCAAATAGCATCTCTTGTAATTATTTGTCACCACTCCCTCGATCTGCTGTGCAGTGGGGTTACTGGTGCAAACTGGTCACCCAGGTGAAGGCTGCTCTGTAGTGGTGGATGAAGTGGGTCCCCTCTTCTACGTGAAGTGTTTTGGGATCGTACTTTGGGGTTAAGAAGCTCAATTTAAGGGCAAGCAAGTATTATTACTCAGCAATATTTGAGAGCACAGGATCCTGATGGTATATTAAAGTCAACCAATATGTTGGACTAGAATGCTGTGCATATATAGTACATTGCTGAAGAGGTTAAGAACGAACATATTAGTGCCAGCAGCTATATCACCCTGCAACTCACAACTGGCAGCCATCTGAAGACCTCCTGGGAAAAACTAAGATTGCAGCTGGATGATGTGTTAGTGGGGCCAGTATGGGGTGCTCTGTGTGGGTCCCCATGCCCCAATATAGTGATGGGGACACTATATTGTAAAAAGCATAAGACGTAGAACCAAGGTCATTTTTTTTCTGCGGTCATTAAAAATCACAGGGTGTTTTTCGAAAAGAGTAGGAGTGTTTCCCTGGTGTTCTGGCTAAATTTCCCATTGGCCTTTACGAATCATGGCCTCCTAGTAAGCCTCATTTATGAACTGGCTTCATCCCTCTGTTCTCCTCCCCACTACTAGCTGATCTGTGGGTTCTGCACATTGGTGTTGGTGGAGGGGAGTCCACATTACCTGTATTGTGCTTTGAATGAAGTGCCCACAAAAGCTTTAGATAAGTGTAAGAATGTTATTATATTATTATTTACATCTTCTGAACTGTACTGTACATCTTATTGTAATAAGAAATCATATTTTTTATGTCTAAATGTACATCAGATATTACTTTCTAAACCATTTGCTTTAGACTTAAATGCTCCTTTCTTTATTTAGAAATCATATTTGGGCAGTTACAAAGGATCAACAATCAATGTTTTCAAATTGTCCTACTAGTATAGCAGTTCTTCTAGCCTTTACTACACAGGGGAAATTTCCTTGTTTAATGGAACACTCTTTTTCAGAATTTATGGATGACATGTTTATTGGACTGCTGGGAAAGAGAGCAGTAGACTCAGGTACATTTCCAATTCTAAAAACTAGATTTGAATTTGACAAATATTTGAGAAATACATATTGACACACCTTAAAAACAAGGTTATTCACTAGCTTAGAAAGATCCAGCAGTATATTTTTGTAACATCGTGACTAAAATTATACACAGTATTCTAAATTAGGTCTTCCTAGTGCATTAAACAGTTTTGCCTCAAGATCATTTAATTTACCTGCTGCACATTTAACAATATTCCCTAACATTGTTCACCTTCCCCATGCTCATCGTAGGAAAACAGACACACCTTTTTCAAAGTAGCTTTTTCAGGCCAGTGCTTCACATCTTATATTTAAAGGTTAAATTTCACTAACTGCATGCAACACTCCACTTGGCTGTATTTAATGTTTTTGAATGTCTTTTGATGCTTGTAGCGTATGTTGATTTTCCTGTTCTGATATTATCTGCAAACTTCAAAAGATTGCACAGTGTCCCAGAATGTAGATTACTGATGTTAATGGTCCTAATACAGATCCACATCTACTCCACATTAGTGGAGTGTTACTATTGTGGAGTGTTACTCCACTAATTACAAGACTCAATCTGAGCATTTACACCTTAACTGTACTCTGCTTTTCTACACTAACCAGTCCTTAATTCCAAAAACATGCATTACCTGGAATTCCTATAGCCATTAATGCAAAAATAAAAGCTTTTCTGGGGAAAAGATTTATTTTTATCAAAAGCCTTCTGAAAACCTAGATATTTCATATACTCTGTCTGTATCTATTACCACTATTGCTTCTTTAGTCCCATTAATAAATAAATGTGCTCCCTGAAACATCTGTGAACGCGGTGTCCTTCTTTAAGGCAGACAACAGTGTTTGAGAAGCCTGCACTCCTACTCTTCATGGGAATCCTGTAGTGGTGTTGCTAGAGCACAGTGCAGCTTCTCTTGCTTTTACTTTGAATACCACGTCTAATATCTGTAATACTTCTGTATCTAATGTACTTATAGTTTTAAATATGGAACTTCTTACATCAACTTGTTTAATAATTTCCTTGGAAACACATTTTCATGTTGTATATATTTTCCATTGTTGTCTCTTACGCTTTAATTACTATGCTTTTGTTGCTGTAGTACTGAAAAAAACTTAGCCTCTTTTATAGAGCTTTTTCCCCACAATGCTTTATAGTTTGTCATTGCAGGACTGAATACAGAGTAATGTATCTATCCCAAATAACCTGCAGATTCTTTCCGTTTCTGCTTCAGAATCTCCAACAATGGAAACCATTTATCAAAGATGAAGATGACAGTGCCAAAACAGAAGATGAGTCTGTTCCAGTCGCAGATATTTGAAGTACAGTACAGATGTATTCTATTTTTATCCACTGGAATTGCTGGAAAGTCCAGATCATCTTGATTTCCCGTTGTTTTGAGCTCTGTCAAGCATTTCGTATAAAGCATCAAAGAAATACACCAGAATTTTATTAACCTACAAATGACATAAAAAAGCATTAGCAGAAAGTGGGACACTGAAAAGAAGCCAATCCAAATTCAATGCTACAACCATTGCCTTTTAATAAAATAGTACATTCTGCATAACAAAATATAGTGCCGTCTATCATTTTATATGAATTAACAAGTATTCAAAGGTTGCTATAAGTTACATTTCACCTCCAACAAAAATACTACTACAGCATAAACCACTGAAAATGCACTGCAGAATTGTTTTCTTAAGCAATGCTGTAAACAATTCATGTACAAATTTACAAACTAAACCCATGTTTTTTTAACCATAAAATTTGAGTTGTATGTTTAGTCTCAGTGGAAATATTCATCCAACCTGAATAGCAGTTATTTTCATATAAAAATACATCCATTTTCTGCAGGAATGTTTTAGAACAAAAAATATATACTGAGCATCAAAGAAAATGTCACTTTTAACTACAACAAATTCACAGTTATTGACATCAGACAAATACCCCAAATTTGTATAGTAGGTCACTAACCAGAAATGACCTAAGTAAATTAATCAGGCTGATTAACTGATTGGTCTGCTGTGGAAGTCTTAGTCTAGAAGCCTGTGTAGCAACAAGACACTCCTGACCAACACATTACACACAGAACCTCCCAGTCTTAGTGAGGTCTTGTGTGGTTTCCCAGAATGTGACTTGATATTGATGTAATGTGTTTGACTAAGAGTTTGCTCGGTTAGAAACTGCTAGCTGTGAACACCCAAGTCCACATGCAGCAGTGCTTTGACTTAGTAAGCCTTCAACATACCAATAGCATAAAATCAAAGTTCCCCTGATAAGAGGGGCTTAGTGACTCTCTGTGACTGCGTTTTTCTTTCTCAGCTTTCATATTGACATTCAATGGCCTGAGGTCAATAAACTCTATCTTTAATGAGTTGATTTTGTAAGTAAGCATTGGTCAAAGTCACTCAAGGGTATCACCATAATCAATTATTTTAAATGATGCCAAAAAATCTTTAATCGAGGTTCCAAACACGCATGCACGTTTATATGCCATATACTACATGCTGTAAACATACACGTGTTTCTTTGAATGCTGAGTATACAGTATAAAAAGTACCTTTCTTTAAAAACGCAAGCTCACTGCTCTTGCAACTTCAGTACCTCTCCTGCTTGTAAAATTATGCAAAAACAACAAGCTTGTACATATTCTACAATGCTTTTAACTGCACGCCTAAACATAGGGATAGTATGAGAATGTTAGTTTGTGACACTAAGTTATCACGTGGAATGCACTTGGTGATCTTGGTCCACAAGGCAGAGCCTTGAAACATTTCATGGTATTATACAATATGTCCTGTAACAGTGTTTCGAGACCCGGAGTACTCCTGTGCCTTCTGTCTGGTTTTTAAATGGACTCCGTACTGTCTCGACATGTATTATTTCCAAGAAAAGTTGCCCACAGACTTATTTCAGCTAGGTTTAATGTTTTCTAAACAACTGATTCGTTATCCATTACTGATGTGCTAAGCTAATGACCCTGTCATTATAAGCTCAAACTCATAGTTTGTGTGCTGTCACATGAGAATCCCAGTCACAGTCAGCTAGTGACATGATCCAGAGTTGAATCCGGGATCATAGAGCTCAACTTTGGTTCAGGTGACATGATTTGCTGGTTCAGTCCCTCAGGAGGTTCAGTTAAGAACCTTTTATTTTCAGTAGGGCAGAGGTCAGCACCCTGGACTGAAGGCCAGTCCATATACACATGTACTGGGGTTTACTTTCTATACACCAATCAACTTGGACAGCATGTCTTTGGACTGTGGGAAGACACTAGCATACCAGTATAAATGCATGGGCAAAATCCCTACAAAAGGCACCCCAGGCTGGAATCTAATCTTCCCTAGACTATATAAATTTCCTATTTATTGCTTAAAATATCTGAACGTCAATGTAATTCAATAACACCAGCTGTGCAACAGTTGCTAATAAGGAATAATGGATGGAATGCAATTCTAATAAATTCAGTAAGGAGCTGTAAATGTATTTATAAAAGTACTGGAATGTGACGCTGAGGCTGTCTGTTCAATAAATGCAATGCAGTAAACAAACCGAAGTCTGAGCTGGAGAACTGGTGCACAGTGTTTTAGAACGCTGGGTAAGAAATGGGATTTGTCCTCCTCTGGTCTTGGCAAAGATGGAATTTCGGCACGTCAAGCAAAGTTTCTGTCCACCGTAGGCTGCGGATCTTGTCGGAGGCAGCGCAGGCTGCCCTACATGGTTGACCTTTGCCCTGCCTCGTCCTGGTTGGGGTTCCTCCTGCGGGCCTCGCTGCTGGGATCCGGCTCGTTTCGGACCTCGGCGACGGAGTCGGACATGGTCAGCCCCTCCCGGTCACTTTTACACCCGCCTCCGTTCGTGAGCCTGGCCGGAGCCGACTGCTCGCTGGGGCGCTTCCAGGGGGAGCGGGTGGCTATCCAGAGAATAAGAGCCCCGTACAGCAGGAGCAACAAGCCCAGCACGTTGACAAAGATGGCTTCTGGGGGGGAGCTGCTGTACTTGGGGTTATTTCTGAGGCAGACAATAAAACAAGCAGTCAGTGACAAGACGCGCAGCCAACGAGACTTTGAAGAAAGCCAGTCTGACAGGCTGAAGAGAAACAAGGCAGACTTAAAAATATGAATTCTTGCGTGACAAGATGACAATCTCCTCCCATACTTACAAGCTGAAAATGAGCTTTTCTGTGATTCCCATCAAGGCAGCAGCAATAACGGATGCAAAGATGAAAAGGCCACTGAACACATGTATGGGCATGAACGCAGCTCTGATGGACACGGGGGTAATGGGGACCAAGTAGATACAGAGACCTAGAAGAAGCTGTTGACACATGTGATAGGAGGGTTTTTGACCATGTCTTTTAAACATGACGGTCCTGCTTTACAACCAATGACATTTCAGCGGCAATTACGCTTCTGCCCACTAGGGGGTACTAATACCTCATTTTCACCTCATGACCTACTCGCTATTTATATTAAAAGAATTCCGGTTTTAGGCTTAGTAAAAATCAATACTAAAATTTGTACTACTCATCCCCAGGAAGGTGTCTTACATCATAAATAATCAATGTAAGCTTAAATAAATTCATTCTCTCTCCTGCATCAGGAGAAGACAAAAACATCTTCAAACAAAACGGCTGAAGAAGCAATTCCACGCCTTCTGTTTTTGAGAATAACCAGTTTTGTTTTCCGAAGAGTTTCTGCCACACTTGCAGCTTAAATACGTGCATAACAAATGAAATACGCATTTATTACGGTCGCAATATGTGCTCACAATCTAAAATAAACAAAAAGGATATACTGATATGAAAGCACTTCGGTTTATGTATTTTAAACGTGGTGTATTATTCCCTCAAAACCTATGCAGCTTCCAGATATTAACGGAAATATATGCAGAAAACGTGATTTAAAACACGCAGGGATTACTGACAGTAGTTTCTTTCCATGCAGAATTCCACAACACTCACCTGCAGAGCATACAGTATGACAGCAGCCAACCCAACCCAGCTGTGCAAACTGTACATATTGGGAATATTTTTGGTGTTGTGAAAATCAAACACTGCCACCAGCGAAATGATGGCGATAATGAAGGCCAGGGTATTTAAACCAGCGTGAATGAATTTCATCATCAGTTTACTGCACTTCCACGTCCATGGTAGTCTGTACACCACAATAGCTGTAAAAATGGACATTGTTATGTTAGATTACAACGCAGTTCATCAACAGAACTTGGCTGCACGCAGTCGGATTACAAAGAAGCCCACTGCGAGGCGTCTGCAAACATCTCTTTCCATCAGAAAATTAATCTTGTACAAATTATCTCCTGTTGTTTTAGGTGTCAATACCTGAGAATGAATAAGCTTAAGCAGTCAGATTTCCAATTAAAGATACACAATTTAATCTACAGCATTAATAAATAGAGGGTAAAGGGAGATTCATCCAGCGCTCTGTTTCAGGAATTAACCAGCACCTAACTATGTTGAAAAAAATCAGATTTCCAAGTGAATTAATGTTCTAGTGGCACTCCAAAGTATTAACGAATGCACTGTGATGGTGCAGGCTTTAACTCCAGGGGGTCTGAACTTTTTTTAAGTCAACCTCCTTACAATTCTAAATTGTTACCATAAAGCCATGGTAATACCGAGCAAGCCATTGTAGTTTTCCTAATATCTAACTTAATGAATCAGCTTGATATCTATCCATTTAATAACTTTTACTCACAAAAATCAAGCTCATTAAAATAGCGCTATTAAGAACAACGGCGAAAAAACAGCGTTGCGCAACTTGATTTACAACCCTGAGAGTTGTTTTTGAAGGCGTGTTTTACTGTACACTGTCAACTGTGAAAACTTTTCAATGCACGTTTCATTTTTAGTTTAGGACAAATGTCATGGAACACCGAAACGAGTAAAATGTTATGCAAACTACGCAATGAACCATTAATTCATGCACACAGCTCAAAAGCCACAGGAAAAAGAAACTCTCACCGATTCCCTGAATGAAAATAAACCCCGTCACGGTAAGAACTGGATGCCAGTTAAATTCTGCCTGGTCTCCGTCCCATGCCAAACCCCCTCTAAAATAGAGGACCCAACGCAGCACGAAAACAACGGCGACGAAGCCCACAGACAGTGAGGTCGCTAAGAAAAACAAAAACTGTTTGTAATTCTCCATCGCCATCTCTGCCGCTCGCAAAAGTGCAGCAGCTGGAGTGAACGGAAGAAGTGACGGACTTCCTCAGAAGTCAGGAGCGGCGAGCAGAGGAATTCTAGCGGTCACTGGGGGATGGGAGACTTGGAAACTTGTCTGAACTGCGAACGCTACTCGATTTTATGCGCCAAGCGCCCGTGACGCTGCATTTTATTCAAACCTAGTATTTGGTTTTTAAACAAAGTTCGTTACGCAAACCTACACGCAGCAGTTATGAAACGAAAGAATTTTCGTAGCTGAGAGACATTACCTTGAGAGCCCATAGGTGACTAACAGGATGTGTTCTGTTTATGGCTTTACATAATTAGATGTTATTATTACCAGGGTATTACAAATAATAACATGTAATTTTGCAATCTACTTGGCTATTATTAAAATTAATCAAACTCAATACCATAGTAAATGCCCTGTGTTTAGTTGAACTATTTTCGATAAATATATTATGCGTAATATGTTCCCCGTTGATTTTTAATTTAATTCAACATTTTAATCAATTCGAAGTAACTGTTAGGACTTTTGTAATAAGATATTTTTAATACTTTTATGGCACAAAGTCAAAGGCAGGACTTCAAAACACCCTTTTGTGATGAGTAGCAAGTCCACAGTTCAGAGGTTAATATCATGGCAAATAAAAAAGTTTTTGTGTGTTTTCAAGATGAAATATACATGTCTGTAATTGTTGACTTTAACCTTAAAGCTTTCCCTTGAAAAAATGAGGATTTCCAACGAAAGGTACAGTAGGACCATGGTAGGAACTTGTCTATGAAGCCAAACGGTCTTCCATGTTGTGTAACGTACACAGCACAGAATCTAAACTGTATGTGTGGTTCTTCAGAGAAGAAAAACTTAACTTATTCCTGAAAAATAATTAGACATTTTGGAAATGCTGGGAGAAGAAGTCTTTTGCTTTATTTAAAAACATCCAAGATTTTAAAACTATCAAATATATTATCTCAGCTGCATGGAAATGTTGCCTCTATTAACTCTTCAGGACAGGATTTTGAACACACTTTACAAAAACAGACAAAATAACAGTTTGATGCTAATGCAAAATTTTAAGGTGGGTGGATGAAAGCCACCAGATGATAATACAATTTCTGACAAAACGCAGAAAACATTGCACCTATGAAAATACACTGCATTTGGTAATGGTACAGTACTTCAACCGCAAAGTGTATTTTGCCAAAGATCAATCAGAAACTGAGCACCAATAAGTAGTTTAGTGTCCCCTCTTCCATTGTTATTCATTATCCTCTTGGCAGCGGGTCATTTTGTAGACATGACAGCAAAATTTGTGGTTCTTCTCCTGTTCAATGTGGATTATTGTGTCGCAGTCAAAGAAAAATTGGTGACCGTAGGTCTAGAAGAAGAAAAGGGGAAAAGGCTGTCAGCGGCAACTGATACAATTTCAAGAGCACAGTGTATTGCCCAGTTTTACTCAGTTGAAATCTTGTTTTGATATTAACTGTAAGGTCAAGGCAAGATGTTTTTTTTTTTAGGTGCACTGTTACCGTTGTCTTCTCATTTCGAACCGTTGACAGTGCAAAAGGGAAACACAAACCAATTCCAACAGCATTAGGAAAACTAGTCACTACCTGCTTTTGTAATTAAGGTTTTTTTTTACTTATGTTTTTTTATTAACATAACACAAAGGTAACCAGAAACAAAAAGAGCTGCCAGTCAAATCAAAATCTCAAGTCCTACAAATATGAGTATAAAGTCTGTTATTCATCATTTTTTTGCATTTTTACAGGGGGGTATAGTGCTGTGGAGAAAGGGGGGTGAAAAATGAAAAACTTCCAGAAACATAAAGTCATGATCATTGGGTTATATAAATAATCCACATCTCCCAAAAACCTCCTTCTGGGGTCTTAACAGGAAGGTTAATTTTTCCATTTCATAAATCTCTGAAACAATAACAATCTAGTTTTCTTTGGTTAGGGGGTGGGGTGGGGGGATCTCTTTGTAACCATGTATGTGTTAAACCTTACTTGCTTGATGGCAAAAATACTTTTAGCAAGTATTAATCTCTTCCCACAACCTCGTCAGGCAGATTACCCAGCTTCAGAACAGGACTTTGGAATTTCTAAGCATACTATATCTTGAATCAGAGTTGTGAATGAAGATTACAGTTCCAGGGTCGCACAATGGCACAGCGTTTGGCATTGCTGCCTCACAGCACTGTAGCCCTGGGCTCAATTGTCTGTGTGGAGTTTGTATGTTCTCTCTCAGTTTTGCATGGGCTTCCTCCCGTAGTCTAATAACATACCGGTAGGCTTACTAGCTTCTGTGAAAATTGGCTCTGGGGTAAGTGTTTGTGTCTGTTCACCCTGCAATGCACTAGTGTCCCATCCAGGGTGTACACTCAGAGCTGTTTGTCGAGATACTCTCTGACTCCCCCATGAATCTGAATTGTAAGAAGCAGTTAGAAGATGGATGGAATACACTTCCACACACAGAACCATAAACCATTTCACATACTGTATATGCTTTGTCTTTTGGGAACATGAGCTCTACATTTTACGGAAGCGTGTTGCCGCCACCAAGGGGAAAAAAATGTGCCCCCTTATCTCGCAATTACGAGATAGTAATTCTCGCGTACTTTATGTGATCATAATCTATACTATTACGTGCGGATTTACAGTTTTAAGCAGTGGAACTGATTGCACGTACTGTATAATTGTTCATAATGGAACCATCACTGCTTTGATCTCTAAATCCCACAAAACCGGTCCGCTTGCTTTTAATGATTCTGTTCATATTTGCTAAAAATGGCAAGATTTAATTCTGACTAAACCCCGGTCGAAAGTAAATCCACGCAAATTCTGCAGCGCTGGACATTAGCACAATCATTAAACTGAAAGTGCCAGCCAAGTTCATAGTAGCTTCTAGATACATTCAGTGCACAGCATAACAGGTTGTACATACCCTGATGTAATCATTGCTATCTCGTAATTACAAGATACTTCGTTATCTCGTAATTACAAGATACTTTTCAGGTAATTATGAGATAAGGGGGCAAATTGTTTTTTCCTTGGTAGCAGCATTGCCCTTCCATAACATTTTAATTACAATTTTAACTTCAAAACAATATATCAGGTTCACGGTAAATGACTTATCGGCTACCTATTTCCACAACATATTCTCCTGAAAAGCAATTTAAAATGTAGCATTGACTGACCACATCCCAGGACTCTACTAGTGGAACACTTTTCATCAAAACGCCACTCCAGTTGTCGTAGATACCAACGTGGGCCTTTCCTTCAGACTCTGTTTGGGTCACAGATACAACTGCCAACAGGTCAAGTTCATCTTCGTATTCTACACACTGGAAAGTCTAACAAAAAACAAGACAAACATCCAGTTCAATGCAGTAAAAAGATTTAACAAAGCACAGTCATTTACAGTTAAAAATGCTGTAGCAGTAGCTTGGTACTGTAGTTAAAACACCAAAAGAACAGAACAAAATGTCGCCAAGATAAAAACAAATCAAATTTTCAGAAAATGAAAGGCAAATGACTGATGTATTATATTAACATTTCACTCAGGTGTTCACAGAGTGGAAAAGGCAGAAATGCTACATACTGTAGCTGTGAATGAGAGTATTGTTCAACCAGAGATACATGAACTTATCCACAATGTAAGCTAGATCCTAAAAATCCCAAACCAGATCGATATTTAGATTAACTCTTTAGCTGTTGTCAGGATTTAAATGTAAAAGGCCTTTTGAGACCATGAATAGTTTTTAATGTTTTTGATGCGTATAAAGTTCTACAAAGAAGAAATATCATCAAAGTTATCAGAAGGGTGCTATTTAGCACTCCATCTTTGCATGTGAAGCATGGTCATGCAGACCTTATACAGTAAAGGGATACATACATAAAGGGCTTCTATAACAGCTGTAGAAATCTGTTCAAAAGCTTTCTTTGATAATTAGGCTTTCTTTTTATGTGAGAAATTTACTTTACTCAATAGCTTTTGAGCAACCAGCAATGCTGCTTTTCCACCCCTTTTAGGAGCTATAGGAAATCTTCACAGATTGTTGTTCCAAATAACACAGAATGTAAAACGTTACAGACCGTACTGGTACCAAGATATTAAATGATAAAAAACATGAAATCAGATGAGCCATCAATGCACTTCAAGCGTTTAACAAATTTAACACTTTCCTAAAATTGTATATAATTTTAGGAAAGACTTAAGAATGGGAGGAGATTTTATTATTTATGGCTTCAAGAATGTAATTTTGAAACTGAGACATTAACATCTTTTCTTTAAAAAGAATAGGGGTGGTACCCCGGCATCATGGCCAAATTTCCTATTGGCCTTTATCAATCATGGCCTCCTAATAATCCCCTTCTCTGAACTGGCTGCATCAGTCTGTTCTCCTCCCCATTGATAGCTGATGTGTGGTGAGCGTACTGGCACACTATGGCTGCCGTCACAGCATCCAGGTGGGGGCTACACACTGTTGGTGGTGGAGGGGAGTCCCCATTACCTGTAAAGTACTTATACCTATATAGTGCTAAAGAGCTGTATATAAGTGTAAGGATGACGATGATGATGATGGTTATTATTATATTGGCTTTCAGGCAAGTTTCATAAGGGTGGAGTTTCGTAGGTTCCATGGGACACATTAAGCACATTCTTGGTGGAAGTCTAATTTCAATTCAAACGAATTTGCTATTTCTCCTCAAATACCTCTTGTTCTGGGTCGTCATCCAGCTGGTGCAATCTCCTCCTCACTGTTCGACCAGAAGCTGTGACAGTGACCAGAGAATCTGCCTGTGGTAAAAAGCGGATGAATTATTCATTTATCTCTTCTGCATGAAAGGTTGTTCTTGAAGCTCGGGAATCCACAGGGGCTGTCTTCAATTGCAGACCCACCTCTCCAATTAAACATAGTGCAAGAGAGTAGAGTCCCAGAAGAAAGAATACACTAACGCTTCATATGCAAATGATCCTAACTTCTTATTAGCTGATGCAAGCAGGTTGTCACAGAGACCACAGATAAATCCAACATAAAACACTTGATGCATCTTACAAGCTCACAAGATTTATATTTAAAAGGAAGAGACGTTTATTTAAATGCAAAAACACAAGATACTATAAATACACATTACACAAAGGAATTTCCTTACCTTATTTTCTCGATGAGCCTCAATAGAATATTCCTGTATGACCTCAAACTGAAGAAGATTTTCTTGTGTTTCCGCTATTTTAAGTACACTGGAGGACAAAAAATACATAAACAGCTAGCTAATTAGCTCCTTTTACTGCATAGCATTTTCATTTCATATAAAATTACCAAAGTCAACAGACCATTTCACCTGAAGCAGTGAAGATATCAAGACTGCTTGAATACTAATGGCAGTCATACAAGTATATGTTCTTGTATATTTAAGCTGGACTTAAATATATTGGTAAATTACGAACAGCAACTCTTCCAAATACCTCTCTTTTAAAAAGAATGTCAAGCACTTTACTTTGACTACAATGCAAAGCTGTGGAACACTGTAAAAGACAAGTCATGGGTGAAGCTAATAAATATTAAAGTAAAAGATTGCTTTAATATTGGTTGTATTTATGATTGATCTCCAGATTAAGAAACTTGCATAACTGAAAAGGCATTTCTGTTACTTACTTAACTTTACTTGGCCCAACATGGATGATTCTTCCAGAATCTCCAGGATGAAAATAGATCCAATCAGATTCCAGTGAACAACAATTCATATCTTGAATTCCATTCTTTGCCTATGACATCAATATAAGATTGAACTACTGAACTACAATACAGTTAAAGGTATTCTAAATAACTTGTTTTCTTTACAAAAAATCACATTTATAAAATGAATTTAAAGTAATGTTACCAGAATTACATCAAAGGATAGTAAAGGTGACAATAGTAGATAACTAGGGTTTTTTTCTGAGATACTATACCTAAATTATGTATTCCAGTCCACCATTATTGTTTTAAAGTTTCATTTTTTATTAAAGTAAACCCCACAACTAGATAGTAAACCCTATTTTTAACTTAAATGGAACTACAGATTTGAATTGGGAACACAAACATTTTGGTGCCTCTTGATTTGCATGATTCCTAATTTTGCACAAAGTTCAGCAGGAACCGGAATTTAATTTATATGTTATAGGCTACATTTACATTGTAGCTACTTAATTTTACAGTGACACTCTCATACGGTGTTTAAATACATGTGCCACAAACACCTGCACAGGATTCTAAAAGTGGCATCTTGAAAAAACATTAACCTACTTAGGAACAGACACTGCTCTACACTTCAAATGTCTCAAAACCACCACAGGGGCTTTATTATTTTTTAAAGTCAAACAGAGTTTGCCGCACACTAAAGAGCTTAATTACCAACTGGCCATCCTTCAATGAACAAATGTGATAGGTGCCTTTGTGTTTCTTGCTCCTTGGAGTGTAAATGTAGTGCCAGGGGTGACCTCCTATCTGAAATCCACTTTCCAAACATGACACCTCAAACATCAAAGTGGGGCTATCTGTATAAAAGAAATTAATGTTTTCCATTTAATGTTTTCAGGTGATTCTAAGTTAAAGACTTTATTACATTTGCCAGTTTTTGTAATGCAACTACCGGCCAACAACCCTTCTTCCAACTGCTTACTCCTGGGGAGGGCTGCAGTGATAACAGGCTGAGCAGAACAGACTACACATCCCTTTCCCCAGCTGCTGGGGCACTCCCAGATGCTCCCAGGCCAGATGAGAGATAATAATAATAATAATAATAATAATAATAATAATAATAATAATAATAAACTTTATTTTATATAGCACCTTTAAAGGTAGCTTCCCCAAGCGCTTTATAGGATGACAACAACAATAAATAAGAAGAATACACAAGATAAAACACAATTACAATATAGAGAGGAGACCATGGATGGTGGTACTACTGTAGGAAAAGCAGAGGGGTGAAGAATGGAACCAGTTAAGTTAAGGCTTTTCTGAAGAAGAAGGTTTTGAGTCTGGATTTGAAGGAGTTTAGAGAAGGTGACTCTCCGATATCCTTGGGGAGAGAGTTCCAGAGTTTGGGGGCATAACAGGAGAAGGCCCTGTCGCCCATACAATGTAGAGGGGCTTGGGGGACAGTAAGGAGAGCAAAGGTTGCGAGGTGGGGAGTAGGGCGATAATAGTTCAGACAGGTACTGAGGTGCCAAGCCATGCAGAGCCTAATAGGTGAGCATGAGGATTTTAAAGTCTACATGGAATTTGACCGGAAGCCAAATTACTCCAGGATAGGAGTAATGCGAACACTTGCACTAGACCTGGTCAGGATTCTGGCTGCTGAATTTTGGACATACTGCAGTTTGTTCAGAGTAGATTTAGATACCCCAGCCAGTAGAGCATTAGAGTAGTCAATTCGAGAGAACACAAATGTGTAGATCAGCTTTTCGGCCACAGTTAGTGATAGCATAGGACATAGTCTAGCAATATTTCTTAGGTGAAAAAAAAAGATGTTTTGACAGTATGCTGCACATGTGGGTCGATATACTCCCTCCAGCGAGTCCTGGGTCTGTCCTGGGGGTCTCTTCCCAGTGAGCCGTGCCCGGTACACCTCCAAAGGGAGGTACCCCGCGGGCACCCTCCCTCAGATGCCCAAGCCACCTTAACTGGCTCCTCCCAATCCAGAGCAGTGACTCCCCTCCAAGGAGGCATGGAAGTTTGTCACCCTTATCTACACATGTAATGCAACCAGAGAAAATCATCTGGCTTCAGCATTAGTCTGCGTCACAAAGAAACTTCCTTCCTTTACTACATATGCAGTCTTCCATTACCTGTGATCTGGATGTTGAAGGGGATGCCCAATGGAGATTCTCCAACAGAGCCCTGAATTCCATTCCATTCACATTTCTCGCCAAGCGTCAGTTTCTTAATCATAAACTATAAAGAAAAAAAAAACAGTATTGCATCATAGGTTAATACTGCTTAAATGTGTGTTTTTCTGAACTTAGTGTAAACACTAAAGCACAGACCTTTTTTAGTGAGACAAGTGAAAATATAAAACTAAGAAGTGACATACAGTAAGTCAACAATTTGCACTGACAGGACATAAAGACTAAGAATTGCTAATACTCTCAAGACCAACTATCTGAAAGTAATAAAAATGGATTTTGTATCTGGGAGGCGCAGTGGTCCAATTCCGGTGCTTGGCTGTTATCTATGTGGAGTTTGTACTGTATTTTTTCCAAGTGTTTGCATGGGTTTCCTCCAGGTGCTCAGGTTTCCTCCCACAGTCCAAAGACACACTAGTAGGTTAATCGGCTTCTGGGAAAATTGGCTCTGGTGTGAGTGTGTGTGTCTGTGTGGGCCCTATGATGGACTAATGTCTTATCTAGGGTGGACCCTGCCTTGCGCCTGTTGCTTGCTGGGATAGGCTCCGGCTCACCCCCTAAACCCTGAATTGATGATGCAGCTACAGAAATACCACTATAGAAAGAACTAGAAAATGAGCGCATCGATTTTGTATTTGTATTTCCAAAACACACAAAATGGAATTCTATTTCTAAATCAAAAAGACACTTCACAAGACATGTTCTATGGGTTTAAATCTCCCCGATTTACCTTCTCTACAATATTTTCAAAGCTATATAGCTTCACCATGCCAGTGCTGTGAGAAATGGCCAGAATCCCTTGAGAAAGCATAACATCGACAACATTGTTCCCAAACACCTGCAAACAAAAGCATAATAAGAGATTAACACAGCACATTCCTGCGATATTTATGGTTTTACAGGCTCCGTTGTATACACCAGCCGTGCTGTCAAAGTAATCAGACAGGCTAGAAGGGCAGAATGACCCTTTCCTGTTTGTAACCTTGCCTATGTTCTTATCTGGAAATGATTTTGCTCTTACTCTTCTGCTGATCTCCAACATGCCCAGCAGTTCCAGGGGCAGAACTCTGAAGACCGCCAGGCACATCAAAGTATCCTGTCCAGGCCCTGTCTGGGGGGAAAAAAAAAACAGAATTAAAAGCCAGGATTTCTCTTATCTACTTAAATTCAGATTTACACATCTTCCAACAGTTATTACTAAATAAATTACAGGGACAGAAAAAACAGTTGCATTGCTTGCAAAAAATAGAAAATATTTGATACCCCTTCCAAAAAGTAATTAAACAATATTCAATGCTTTACAAAATATTTTGTACACAACGTTTTAACCATTAATTAGATAAAAGGAGCCAATTGTATGATTAATAATTATTAAAAATAAGCAAGGTTTGCCAATAATATGTTCATGTAAAAAATTAACATGCATATTCATATAAATACATGTATCCCTAATTGAAAAGTGGAAACCTACAAACCTGGGTTTGTGATCTGCAACTTGAGAATTCCTTCAATCTGGGACTACATTAGAGACCATTTATGGTTCATAAACCTTTGCAAGCACATCATAAAAAAGACTTGTAGCATCCCAACAACACATTGTTGCACAGTTTCAATTTTTCCTTTAAAGAAATTAAATCAATTGTCCTCACCTGCCTAGCTATGGATGTCTGTTTATTTTGAACAGACTTAATGCAGAGAGTTTCCTGGGGAACATCCCAGCACAGGTATCTATAACACAACAACAATATAATGTTGAAAGTCTCATGCATTTTCCTACGGCTTTACCTCATGAAAACTAACTTTCCAACTGACACATATTTTAGGATAGATAAAATAACTCAAAGGCTTCCAGTGTGGAAAATAGCCAGCGCTGCACTACCCTAGACATAACAAATTAATCAGTCCAGGCCAGCTCCCTAGTTACTGCTGCAAAATCTATTAAAGAGCTCTTGCCAGATTTGCATTATAAAACACCTGATCGGCTTGATATAGCAAACATCACATACAGTAACATTCTATTTCATTCATCATTTACTCCACCGTATCCTCACATTCATTGCCACAAAACACATATGATAGTTACCGTACTAATTCAGTGCTATCATGGCTTAACATAGGAGTCATGGGACATAAAGGCAAGACTCCTATGCTTTGTTTCATGCCTCTATAGTTCTATCACCTAGGGTTGGGATTACAGTTATGACACTATTTCGGTTTGTTGTGAAGAAATCACAATTACCGCAACATTGAATTAATTCCAAACTTTTCACCAGTGATACTGTAAAAGTAATCATATCAGAAACAGAAATGTCAACACTGATCTACGAGGCCCATGAGCCATATTAATAGAATATATGTAATAGTAACCACCATTCCACCAGTCTCAAGTTAAATCTACAGCACTCTTTCGTTTATATTGTATATTTCCATGTTGGTGACTATAAATAGACTAAACTAAGACATACTCCAAGGATGCATAAACAACATTTTGTGTAATATTTTGTACTTAACATTAACAGTTTTTGCTTTTCTAAAGAAAATGCAAAGGTAGGTTTTAAAGAACGTTTTAAAAGTTCTGTAGAGTGCAGATTCAAGTCAAGTACCATACAATCTATAGGTTTCCTTCTTTAAGCCTAACACTGACACATCTGCTAACAGCTTTCTTGATACTGTATGTTTCAAGTTTTAAATGTCCCTCCACTTATCTGTTGATGAGAAACTTGCTATTTTTATGATTTATTCCTAAAACTAAAGATGTAAATCACTCACAGTGGTGTACATGCAATTTTGCAAAGTAAGGATGGTAGTGAGATGATCGAACACACACATTCTATGAAAATTACATTTAACGCTTTAAACCTGTTATTAGTTTTAAAGGATGAAAAATAAATTGCTTAATGCTCACACTTTGGATCTTTAAACGGGTGACAAAAGCTAATTAACGTAAACCCTTCACATTACAGGGTTGGTGTTTTCCAGTATTCTGCAGACTACAAAACTATAACTTCAAACCCAAAAAGGGAGAAGGTTTGTTTACAGCTTGCATATAGACAACTTCAACCAAATCTACAATACTGCTTTAGGGGAACGTTTGACAAATTATTCTGAAGTTTCATGATCTGTCGATCTCATTTCTCCACATAAAGTGATCCACCTAATGTCTCTTAGAACAGTAGGACAGTCAGCCCACATCTGCTTTAAATGTGGGCACGGACCTACGTTCCTATCTGTACAGGGTATATAGTGCCAGATCGGGATTCCCTGTTCACATTCCTATCGAACTCAAACAAATTTAAGGTACGCAGTACATAATTAGATAATCCTTTTTTGGCAATGGTATATATAAATATATATATATGGTATATATAAATATACATATATAAAATAGGAGGTTAGCACAAAATGTAATATACTTGAACAAGTCTAAAATCCGTGCTTGACCAAAGGTCAATCAGTCTTCATGTATTTGCTACGGTATACTGTGTTGAATGTAGTAAAAAATTATTATCTTTTCCTTAAAAAATCAAGTGACTGAAATTGAGATTATTTAATTCGAATAATCCTTACAAACACTGTACTTTAAAAAAAAAGTTTGTTTGCTTCCGCGTGTATTACATTGTGTAGCCTAAAGCCAGGCACTGCAGTGAAGGAGAAAATTTGAGAAATGGCCTCTTACCTAAATTTATAGCGTGGAGACAAATAGACCTTTTCCAGTTGTTCTCCTGTCATTGCTGAATAGCAATACAACCAGTTACTTGCGTTAAGAGCCAGAAGGCATGGGTTACGGTCTGAAGGACTTGGCAGTGTTCTATCCTACAGAAAAACAGAACATTTTATAATTTATAATTTATCATTCCACAGACTGTTCAAGTCCCCAATCCCTCTACGGTGCCATCACTTAGCATTGAAGTTACAGCTATGACACTATTTTGGTTTGCTATGAAGGAATGTTAATCATTACAACATTGAATTCATTCCAAACTTTTCACCAGTAATACATTTCCTCTTTTCTGCAAAGCCTTGAGGAAGAGCATTTTCCTCCCAGCACAGGGAGCATTTCCATAGTTAAAATGTCCCGAGGTGATGCCTGAAGAGGCCAGCTGGTAGAAACTCATCGAGACCAGTCTTGTCTGGAATCTCTCAAATAAGGTATTGAAATTCTTACCAGTGTCCTCCTGAAACTAACGATTTCAACTCACTAATATTAGGCCTCCAAACCCTTTTCAATTTCAGCAAGACCACTGCACTGTTTTTCAAAATTATGTTTTTTTTTATAGGCAAAATTCTTATTACTTACTTCTTTCGTATTTTCATAGAAATTACAAAAAAGGTACAAAGTGTGAATGCAATTGTAGGTCAAACCCCTAAAACATCTTTAGTGATACTTCTATACAGCCTTTTCAGTATTTAAGACACTTTTACACATAATTGAAAATTTAAACCACACTGACAAACATTTTTTGATCCACCCATTTTCTAACCAGTTCTTCCAATTTAGGGTCACGGGGGTGCCAGAGCCTAGCCGGGCAAACAACAGGCGCAGGCCTGGGTACACCCTGGAGGGCACACCGGTCCCTCACAGTGCAGACACAAACGCACACACTCACACCAGGATCAATTTCCCAGAAGCCATTTAACCTACCAGCATGCTTTTGGACTGTGGGAAGACACCGGAGCACCTAGAGGAATCCCGCACGAATGCAGGGAGAACACATGAACTCTGCACAGACAGCACCCCAGGAACTCCAGTGTATGAGGCAGCAGTGCTAGTTACTGTACTGCCATGCTGTCCAAAACATTTTACCTTGATACTGAAACTAATGAATTGTAAACAGTGCTTTCCCTTATCTTGCAGAAACATGAAATGCATACGTACAGCACTGAGAACAACTTAAAAACTTACGAGCGGGCACTGACAAATCAACGCATCTTCGATCTTCTGCGACTTGGAGCAATTAGGCAGCTCGTACAGGCACTGTGGCTTTGGAGGAATACTGTTAATACAGGAAGTGGATCAAAACATACGTATCAACTTACTGCATGTGGGGCTGTATTCATTACACATTCATCACATTGTCTACTACCATTAAGAAAGGAAATGGTTTGAACTTCACTGTTCTTGCACATTACACCATAAGCATGATCTGTGTCTATATCTCACAGTATAGACTATCACATGGCCTGCAACTAGTAGATGTTGAATACTTAGATCTAAAGTATAGGGACTTCCTTTCTATCCTACTGGAAATAAAGTTAATGTTGAGATGTCTATAAGATAAAGGTGAAAGAAAAGCGCACCTTACCTGCTATAGCAACTTCGGTAATTTTCAAAGTATATTTTTCCATGCTCATAATCAATTGGGCCTTTTGAATGCTTTCTCCAAACATTTGTGAAATTAGTGGTATCCTAAAAAGAAAGGATATGGGTGATCTGAAATTCAGCATTGCCAACTACAAGTATTCAGAGACAGGCCAACATACACACAAAAGTCGACAAAAAGTTATCAGCTTAAAAAAGTCAGTGTCATGCCTCACAGCTACCCCTGCAGAGGCTTCATTTACATGAGCGATGAACGGCGATACAACAGCACACAGCAAAACCATATTTCGACCAAAATATAGCTGTCATTGTTTCAATACCCATTTCTCACTCACCATGTAAAAACACAAAAAATAAGAAAAGGAAACATGAATTCCTCTGCGAACATTCGTAAATACTGAAGTTAACCCAACAAGATACAGTAATTAAAACATTCGGTTCAAGTCATGTTTAAACACACCTACCAACCGCAAAACTATTAACGTTACCTGTAGCAAAATGTGACGAAGCATTCTCATATTTTTTCGGTACAATGTTCCAGCATCACGGGAAAACAAGCCAATCGACCTAGAGCTCAGGTAGAAATGGGCATTTCTCCACTTCGGTGTCGTCGCGGTTCGAGGGCTGTAGTGTTTATACGAGTTCTGTGTGGGCACCTCATTTTGTGTTGAGCACGAAGCCATTTCAGCGGTCTGGAAACAGCATCTATTTCTCCACTAACAGTTTCTAAAAGTGCATTTGAGAAACAATCGTTATATCCCCAATATCAATGAAACTTCAAAACAACAGTCCAGTATTTTTATTTCGACCGTGTTATAAAAAATTCTAATGCATTTTCAATTAATTAAACGTACAACTATATATTTTTGATAGAAAAGTAATTACACCATCGGAAAACTCCGGCCATGCAAAAGCAACACACGATTTGCAGAAACTAAGAAAATTAAACAGAACTTATAACAGCTGTTGATATAACTTTATAAAATCATTTGCTGCCCTACTGTTTTATATTTTATTAAAATGTCTACCGATATCTAGTGAACAGAAGTTCTTTATCGATATGTTTTAAAAAATTGCTTTACCTTTTAAAGATACTTTGGGTATACTTATCGTCTACTGGGTATATATAAAGTATAGTTTTCATGTTGAAAAAATAAACAATTCCACAGTTTCACTGTTACATCAGCATCATATTATTTCATAAGCACGCGTCATTAAAAAAATACTAAATATTATAAAACTACCAATGCGGCGTTCAAACCACGATAGTTAAAACTACACCGGAAAAACGTTCACCTCGCCCGTTGGAAGATGGAACTTGTAGTGCGACCATGAAGTTTTATTTTTTTAAGCAAAACTTGCGTTTTGGGGTTGCTATTGCGGCGTTGTGCATTTTTGTCCCGTTAAACGGTAACGGAGCACCAGCACTTATCAGGGTCGATTTAGAAAGCGTCGGCTCTGCGAACCCCAAAGCCGCAAAAACACTTACAAATAGACTATGCTGGGCTTCGCGCAAAGAATCAATGGACGTACGGTATCAAACAGCATTTGAGATCACTAATTACAATATTCTAATTGTTTTGTCTCTTTCATAAACAGATCGCAAAACACAGTCAACAACACGAAATGCTTTATTGCTACTCCGTCGTGCGTCCGCTAAACATGTATCTCCCAAGCAAGATGGCGATTCTCTGTGAATACTTTGTAGATAATCTTTCCTTTTCCCCCCACATCTATGGTTTGACATGCCTACGAGAGTTGCCTTATTCGTTTCCGAGTGACAAGTTCAAAGCATGGCGGCACCCAGGTCTGGATGTAGGGCATTGCAGGCATGTTATTCATTCATATTTTTTAACCAAACCATTCAGTTTTGTCTTGCTTTTCCTTCACTCCGCGATTTTTGGGGTAAATGACGAGATTTGTACCCAGGGTTTTAACTACATTGTTTACAATTTTGAATGAGCAGGGTGAGTAAATGATTCGTGGAGTAATAACTTATATGTTTTTTTAAAACAACAACAACAACAACAACAACAAAAGATTCACCTACCAGCCTATTCTGATTGCAGTGATAAATTAAATGTCAGATTACCAAAATTGCCATATGTGAGACCCATAGTCTCAGATTGGTTTTACTAAGAAATTGGGTAGTGTTACTTCAGGCTTGCACATTGTTCGTATTAACTGTTCTTGTGCTCCGGATGGTTACGTTAAACGCAATTAAGGTGGAATTCGCATTTTAGTGATTAGTTAATATCAATTATCCCACAGAAGAAGGTATCAAATTTATGAAAATGTTACTATAATTTGGTTTGCCAAGGAGAAACCGACCGGCGCCAGGGGGCGTGGTCGTAACAAACCACTTCGCCACAATTATGAAACCGAATTTGACTTCTTATACTGTAACATCAAAACAAGTATACAGTATATGTACAATACACAGAACAGTACACAGAACATCGTCAGGGGTACAAAATACAGATGCGTTTTACTAAAAAAAAAAGATCAAATGAAGTAAATAAAACGGAGGTACGCACAGATTTCATGTTCTTAAATTTAGAAATAGTCTGAAGATACTGTATGCCCTCCACAGATGCCTTTCTGTATGTTTTGAGCTGCTCAAATGTGGGTCTCTTCCCACAACATTTCGTTTCCAAATGTGTCTTCATGGAGTTTGCCGATTTAAGGGTTTACCATTGACTACAGAAGTATGTCTCCTCTGTCTGTCTGTGCT